GAAGAGCGCAGCAGGAAAGGCAGGGGAACAGAAATTATTTTTTCTTTATCTTTTTCTTTTTTCTTTCTTTTTTTTTTTTTTTTGGTGAGGCAATCAGGGTTGAGTGACTTGCCTAGGGTCACAGAGCTAGTAAGTGTCAAGTATCTGAGGCCAGATTTGAACTCAGATCCTCCTAATTCCAAGGCCGGAGCTCTATCCACTGCACCACCCAGCTGCCCCCAACAGAATATTTTCACTGAAGGTAGAGGAGCATTGTGGGATTTTCTGATGTTTGACATTACAGAGAGAAGCAATAGGACATTAGTCTTGGGAGGCGTAAACCCTGAGAGGGTAAAAAAAGGTCAAAGTTAAGTGTAAAAATGATTTTTTATATTTCCTACTTGAATTCAGTTATTCATCCATTTCCAGTTCCTAAGCAGGACTGCACTGAACCATAGTAGTAGGGGCAGACAGTGGGGTGGGGAAAAAGGGAAATCAGATCAGTGTTGATTGAAGTAAGTCATTCAAGTGGGGAAAATGAGTAAAGTAAAACCAAGTTCTTGATTACTTTTCTTCCTCTACCCCTTTAATTCTGTGTAAAACTTCAACCTCCCTATATCCCTTAGACCCATATTAGTTTGGATATGTCTCAGTGGCCTATGAAGTTTCCATCTCATACAATTTATATATCTTTGGGAGTGTTAATGTAGCTGCTAGGCAACAATGGGTTATGTTATCATTCCTTGGCAACTGGTGGCTGTTTGGTTATTAATATCTTCTTTGTGTCTCTTCTGGCCAAGGCTGTTGAATTGTTGTTATCTTCATCATTGTTGTGATAATTAAACTCAGCTCTTATTCAATGAAGCTTCTGATTATTGCTGAGTAGGTTGGAAAATAACTGCCCCTTTCTGTAACAAAAAATCGATTGCTATGTCCTCAAACCAGCACACAACTGCACAGGGACAGTTTTTAAAGAAGGAGCTCTCTCCCCTTTTGCTGACTTCCCTGATCTTTTTTCCCTTTTTCTCTGCCTTCCCAAAATCCAGACTCTCTTTTCTCCCCTTTCCCTAGTCTTCTTTCTCTCATCTTCTTTTCCTCCTGTCTCTCATCTCCCTCCTTCGCCATTATAAGATCTAAGATCTCCATGCACAAGGCTTTTTTTCCCCTTTATCCTTTATAATAATAATAATAGTGGTGATAGTAGGGGTAATATAATAATAATAATAGTAGTAGTATTTAATATTAATTAGTATGTAGTAGCAGCGCAGTAGCAGTAATAGTAACAGCAGCACAGAAGTAGCAGCAGCAGGAGCAGCATTAGCAGTAGTAGCAGCAGTAGCAGTAATAGCAGAAGCAGTAGCAACAGAAGCAGTAGCAGCAGCAGTAGTAGTAGTATTTATGTAGTAGCTTAGGATTTGCAAAGCATTTTATTTATGTTATCACATTTGGTCTTCACAACAATACCATAAGTGTTGTTATTATTATTATTATTATTATTATTATTATTATATCCCCTTTTCCAGAAGAGGAAACAGGCTGATAAGATGAGCTGATTTGCCCAGGGTAACACAACTGTGTTGAACTGAGGTGCAATTTGAACTCACCTCCTCCTGACTCCAAATTTATCACATTACCGCACCTATTTGATTTTAAACGGTCAACGATGTGATCACATTCCAACAACTGAATCTGAAATTAATCCACATCTGTCCTTTAAACTCAGCTCTGTCCCAGCCTCTTCCTCTTTGCATTTAATCTCTCTAGCAGAAGTTCTCATTACAAGGGCAGGTACATTCCTCACACAGGCAGATACGGAGCCAGAAATGACGTGGTTGGGAAGTACAGAAGGGAAAAAAAGGCCCCCTTCCCTGGGATCAAATAGGAAATTTGATAGGTGTGTTTTACTTGTCAGAGCCGTGTTCAAAAAACTCAGCCTTCCAGACTCGAATTGGCCTTGAGTCCCCAAACAGATTCCTCCTTCTACTTGTGCCGACCGCCAGGTAGCAGAGCCAGCCTGATTTGTTAGGAAGCACACTGGATTGAGAACTAGGAGGTATATGTTCAAATTTTGGCTCAGAACCTGGGTAGCCTTGGGCAAGTCAAGTCGCTTGACTTGACATCTGGACCTCAGTTTCCTCAACTGTACATAATGCAGGCCTGAGACTGGCCAGTGACAGCCCAGTCCTCTGTTACATATAGAATGAAAGTGTTGGACTAGACGAACTTTACAATCTTTTCTAGTTATAAATTACATAATATCTCTTTTCCAGACTAGCTGGCATTTATCTAGTGCTTGGAGTTTTGAAAATGCTTTTCTAATATTAACTTTTTTTTTTTTTTAATCTATGGTCCTAGGCCACTCCTTTCTTGACCTGTGTAAACCTGTCTTGATCTCTGCTAACCTTTAGACTTTGACTTATCTCCAGTCCTCATAGTTGATGGTCTAGGGTTGTTAGTCCTTCATTCTTGAAGAGGACCAGTGATATCAGGAGGGTGATGTCTTGACTTGCGAGTGAACTGGATTTAAGTGAGGCAGGGCTGTGCAAACTCATCAGCCTCACTGTCCTCCAGACTCATTTGAGTCCAGTGGCAAGATGTAGGTCAGGATGACTGGTGATAGCCCTTAATACAGTGAGAGATCCTGGCCTTTTTAAGCTAAAGTCTTTCCTAGGTCTGTTTGTCTGAGGCAGCACCCTTTCAGTAATTAAAGGCTAGGGAAGAACTGAGGCAAAAGATGGCCTAGTTTTCCTTCTCAAGTTTATAGAAAGCTGGACCTGGAGTCAGGAAGGCCTGATCTGATACTTACTAGCTGTATGATCCTGAGCAAGTGCCCTGTACATGTTCTGCATAATCTTTTTCTTTATTTATACCATCTTATATGCCTGGAATGTCTTCTCTTTATATCCCTCATTTGTGCCCCTTACAATTCTACCCATCCTTTAAGGCCCTGCTTAAATGCCATCTCTCCCAGGAAGACATCCTTGGTGTTTCATTCTCCACCACTACATTTCCCAAAATACCTGGTGCATACCCTTCTTTTGCATTTGCTGTTTGTAATTTTGTGTTACAGTTATCTGACTATATATCATATACCTCAATTAGATTCTGAGCTCGAAGGAGGCAGAGACAGAGCTTTATTTCATCCTTGTATGTCTTCCCGTTATTAGTACTTCAGTTCTTACTGAATGTTTGCGAGAATCAAAAACATGCCTTTCTATGCATTCATGTCTAAGCATCTTTACCTTTAATCATACCCAGGCATTGCTGGAGTGTAGTAGTGAGGGCAGAAGGTGGCAATATGGACATATGCAGCTTTGGGGGCTGTTAACAGGCAGGAGGACCAGTGGACTTCTTTGCATGTCTCTTTACCCATAGCTTTCCAAAACTCTGTCATACAAATGGACTTAATTCACTTAATCTCCCTTTTTAACAAAGTATGGTTGCTAAGGTCCTAAACTAGTCTTTCATAATAACTTGGTAGAGTGGAAGATACCATGGTGTTGAGAAGTGATGTTAAACTATAATAGAAACCTCTGCCTGCCACATACTGACTTAGAAAACCACAAAATAATATTGTCTATATTACATTTGTATTTATTTTTGTTAAACATTTCCCAGTTACTTTTTAATCTGGTGCAGATTACATTGGTTTGGCTTCTTTCTTGTGGAGGAAAGGGTGTCTAATTTGGATGTCCTGAGACCTAGGTTCTAGTTCCCTCTCTGCTACTAACTAGCTGGGGGACCTTAGTCATAATGGTGACCATTCTAGGTCTCATTTTCCTCATCTATAAACTTAGATCATCGGATTATTTATTCTGTGAAGTTTGGATCCAGTCAAAGGGCCGAGAAAGCCACATGTGGCCTTGAGGCCAAAGCTCTCCTCACCCCGCCCCATATTAGATCATCCCTTAGGTTGATATTAGTGGTAACATTCATTTTCTATAGAAAAGCAATCTCCGTATTTAAACATACATCTCCTCCTTCCTCCCCAGAATCTTCAACTCTCCCAGATGTGTAGACTAAAAAAGACAGCGTGTAACTTTTCTCCATATTCCCCTGTATTTAATCCCCAAGCTTCAGTTGGCGTGGCCAAGACAAATGAAATAGAACCGAAAAGAGAGCTAAAGAACTATTAATAGTGGTCAGTGGCTGAGTATTTTAGCCCTAGTTCATTATAAAATCAGTAGCACCTGAGAGCTGGTTCTTTCCATACACCTACATACACCCTCCATCTTTAGTGATCAAGAATACTATATTAAGGAGATGGATTCTAACTCCTTATGTAGTTAAAAAAAAAAATTAGGAATAGCATACTTTGGACAAGAGATATCTGAGGAGTAGGCATGATTCCAGGCTTAAAATATGGAAAGGGTTATTACAGCCTCATTGCCTTAGAGTTGGAAAAGACCTTAATGACTGTCTATACTGATCCCCTTATTTTTATAAATGAGGAAACCAAGGCTTAGGGAGGATTAATGACTTGCTCAGAGTCACACAGGTGGTAAGTGGAAGAGCCAGGATTTGGGCCCCATCCTCCCACTCCAGATCCAGCACTCCCTTCCACACCATGGTGGAAGTGACGCTCAAGTGGTGGGACAGATTTTGTCTTAATATAAGGGAAGGATTGATAGTAATAAGACTTGTCTAGTAATGGAATGGATTGCCTCATGGAGGCATGAGTGCTCTCTTACTGGAATTCTTCAAAGCTGAGTCTTATGGCCTGCTGGTCAGGGATTTTGTTAGAGGAAGGGGCAAGATGCCTTTAAGTTCCTTCCAATGTTGATGGTTCTGATGAACCTCAAATCAGCTTTAATCAAGGTGTAATCACGAAGGGAGTGGCGGGTGTAGAAGAAGGTAGCTTCGAAAGCATAGCATGCTTGGGAAAAGGGTCTCCTCTCTACATTATTTGTATTCATAAGTAAATATAAATATGTATTTGAAATGTGTGCAGCATTGCTATACTTTTCTACCAGCCAGCTAGAATCCCCAAAGCAAGACTGGTAGTTTTAAGAGGGATGGGATATCTGTAGGCATGTTTGTGTCTTTGTGTCTGTGTGGAGGACAGCAGTGAAGAAACAAGCATTGGGTCATAAGGCAGTCTTTAGTTCCTAGAAGTGGGTGACTTTCTCAGCAGCCAGATTGGTATAACTTTTCTCGTCAGGATTATAGCCAGGGAGATGGTCCTGACTGTCCTTGAGTCCATTCTTCAGGGCAGATTCAGCTCCTTGTTGCCAGGCAGTATCATTTTCAAGGTTGTCCTGAGGAAAATGAAAGGAAAAGATCATGACTTCTCCCTAAAGCAGTAATTTGCCATTCTGGCACGTAGAAGACACACTATAAGATGAATTCTAGGGAAAAAGTTTGGAACTAGAGGCCATAAATCCAGGAGACCATAAGACCCCAGAAGGGTAGAGGTCATCAGGTAAGGAGTGGGAAAATTCCCCCTTGAAAACTTAGGAGCTTGACTATGTGGCAGAATCAATTAATTCTTCTTAAGGGCTATGAGATATCCTTGGGATAAATAGAAAGATTGGGGAAACTTTGGAGCAAATTTGAACTGAAATCAGCAAATAAATATAACTCCATAATTAATGTGTGTGAGGGACAGCCCTTGTTAGTACTGAAAATTTGTCTCAGAGACTAAAATTGCATTTCTGTATTCTAGTCCTTCATCCCCTTCTCTCCCAGTGTGCGCTGCATCTTAACTATGTATTTATTGAAAACACCCTTGGACCAGCTCTTGCTTTTCTACTTCTGGAATTCTCCTCTCAGCTTAGTCACATGCTTGACTTTGCAGAAGCTAATGAGAGGACTATCACCTCACTCCAGGAAGAAACAGACATTCCTTCCACAGCTAGTTTGTATACTAGACTGACTCTTCCCCAGCTGCCCCTGGGAATTCTTCTGATTCCACCCACTGAAAAGACAACCTGGATGTAAGTGGTAGACTTTACAATCGTGAAAAATCAACTCACGAGAATTGTCTCACTGTCATGTTGAACTCCACACCAGCATAACGTCTTGTATTTCTTAGACCAAAAGCAAAACAAATTCCCAATTGGTCGAATCAATTGTGGTTGAATATTTTTGCCTTTCTCTGGACCTGTAAAATATTTCCCAACAGTGTTTGTGGCCTGGCATAATGGACAGGAGACCCAGGTGTTATTTTCCACTCTACCACAAATGCAATGGATGACCTTGGACAAGCTATTTGTCCTCTCTGGGAATCTCTTTCCTTCCTCTGTAAAAGAAGTAAGCAGGTGGATCTGAAGGGCCTTTCCCATCCTAACACTATGATTCTCAAACTGGGCATGCTTGAGAGGATCTTTGGTACTGATGCTATCATACTTACAGAAAGAAAACAATTGATGACTTGAGAAATAGGCCTTCTCCAAGCATGTTAGATGTTAACCTGGATAGATCTAAAGACCGCAAATAGCCCCCCATGAATCAAGTAAACTCTTGACTTAACCAATTAGACAAATAAAGGTAGCTTTGACTAGCACCCTTAGCATGCTAAGAAGGGGGATGCTTCACACAATCCCTTTTCTTTCAGACAAAAGTTATTTACCTTTTCTGTATCATGATCTCTTTTGGTAGTCTGGTAAAGCCTGCGGACCCCTTCTATGAATATTGTTTTTAAGTGGGTAAACTATATGTAAGATTATAAAGGAAATCAATTATAATGAAATAGTTACCAAAACGCTGAAAAAACAAGTTCATGGATCTGAGGTTAAGAACCCCTGATTTAAGAGATTCTTACTTTTTTAACCCAATTTCTTATATCCTGAATGATGTCATTACTGCCACCTTTCAGGGCTAGACATTGGGCAGAATGATGAATGTAGATGGTCTGGGCCCTCCTTCCTCTGATCCCTTCTGCCTGCATATATTAGTCATCACCAGTCATCCTGACATTTGCCTTGCTACTGGACTTCCATGGTTCTGGAAGAGAGAGCAAGGCTGACAGACTTTGTGTAACTCTACCTCACTTAAATCTAATTGACTTGAAAGTCAAGATATCACCCTGTGATGTCATTAGTCCTCTTTGAAATGAAGGACAAACAACAATAAGATTCCTCCCTCCTCTCCCACCCTATCTCTTTTTTTTTTTTTGACCCTTATTCTATGGTAAAATCCACCTGTCTTATCTCCCATTCCTTTGGGGACATGCTAAGAGATTAACACTAAATTAAGTAATTCAAATGCAGTTACCAGTGGTTGATAAAACTACCTTGGTGTAGTGAGAAAAGCAGAGGATTTAGCTTCAGGGGAGGAGAAGTCAAATATTAGCTCCTCTCATTTACTACCTATGTAATCTTGGGCATATCACTTAACCTTTCCAGGCCTCAGTTTCTTCAGCTGTTAGATGTTAGGCTCCAATTCCAACTCTAAACCTATGACCCTACTGGGATTATTATAATAGCTAACATTTGTACTGTATTTTAAGGGTGGCAATGTGCTTTACGTGTATTATCTTACTTGATCCTTAACCCTTGAGGGAGGTGCTATTATTATCCCCATTTGACAGATGAGGAAACTGAGGCTAATTAGGTGACTTGCTCACACTCAGCTAACAAGTGTCTGAGACAATGAACCCAAGTTTTTCTGTTTCCAAGTCCAATAGCACTTTGGGTGCTATATCCCAAAGAGAGTAAGGTGGAGTTTTCAGAGACAGGGAGGGGACCAGGGAGCAGCTTGGTGCCTTTTGACCACTACTAAATTCCCACTGTGCACAAGGTCAGCTCTGCCAAAACTAGAACTGATTTTGACTGGGGCCCCAAACATTGAATTAATGGTACCAACCTGTTATAAAGCTGATAAGGAAACCAGCAAGGATGCATCCCAGGCACCCCACAGCACTGTAGTAAAGGTAAGAGATCGAGTACCATGTCTCCGCCAGGGCTGGTCTGTGAAAATACAAATAGAGAAATGATCATTGGTATGGAGTACATTTTAAGTAGTGAAGATAGTTTGTGCCAAGGCACAAGACAGAATACTGAGGTTGGGGGACCAAAAAAAAAAAAAAAGACCAGTAATGTCATCTCTTGCCATGAATCTGGAAGTTTGGTGAGGGAAACAAGAACATGATTCCTGTGAACTAGAGTATCTGTCATGATGGGTTCCTAAGAAAGAAACTGAGCTTAAATTTGGATTAAGTCAGAATTTTCCTTTAAAGGAGGAGACAAGTCTTTACATGTAATTGGAAAAAATATTTTTAATTGAAAAAAAAAATAAAGGAGGCAGAATGGAATGGTAGAAAGAATACTGGGCTTGAGATTTAAGACACCTGGCCTCAAGGCCTATCTGTGTTCTTTACTAGCTCAAGGACCTTGGGCAAGTTACTGGACCCCCTTTGGGCCCTAATGGTTCTATAATTTAATGAGTGATCACCTATACTTTGGGCTCAATTTTGGAATGTCATCTGACATTGAGTTGGAGGAGACATTGTCATGTCTGTCTTTGTCATACCTCCACCTACCTTCTTCTTTTTCTCGGGGTCTAGATTTAGCTACTTCACTATAAAGGGCAGAATTGAGTCCACTCCCTGACAGGAAAATGGCAGAATAGCAAAAACCAAACTTTGATTGATTGTTCAGGCTTCCACCATCCTTCCAGTTCCCCAAGTTGGCAATTCTGAAATCATCCTCATCTTCACTCACCCTTTTTTCTACATTTCTAATTGGTTTCTACGTATCATCAGTTCCACCTTCGAGAGTTTCTCAACCCTCCCCTTATATCCACTTACATCTTATATAGTTACCACTCTAATTCAGATCCTTACCATCTCTTTTCTGGGCTACTGGAATTGCATCCTCTTTGGGCTCTCCCATATCCAATCCACCATTTATATAGCTACCAATGATCTATTTCTAAAGCAAAGGTCTGACCATGGAATCCCTGCTCAAAAGTGAACTATGTTTTACCTATATGATAAAATACCAACTTCTCTATCACTCAAAACCCTTCTCAATATGGCTCTAACTTGCCTTTCTAGGCTTATTATTCATTCATCATATTCACATACTTTGCCTTCTGGCCACACTGGCCAGAATGTACTGTTCCTTGTAGGTACACAGTATCTAATCTCTGAGTCTTTGCAGAGGCTACCCCTCCTGCCTGAAATGCAGACCTTCTTCTCCTCAGGCCTTAGAAGTTCTAATACCAAGATGTCAGAGAAAGTTGCACTTTCTACACGCAGTCCTTTCTGACTTCTCCCTGACCCTCTGGTGCCTAAGCCCTCTTTTCAAGGTTACTTTCTCTGTAGTCACTTGTAAGTGTACGTTTTGCTTTCCCTATTAATTACAGATGAGTTGCAAATCTGCCTGACTCCCAACTCTTTTGCTCTTAACTTTTGTCTGTTCTTAGAGGAGGCCAGTGGAGCCTCTTGAGAAAGGTGTGACATTGGCTTTAGAGCTGAAAGGGACAGATGAGGTTAAGTGATGTGCCTAGCTTTACATAGCGGGTAGGTAGCAGAGCTGTATTCAAACTTAGTTCTCTTAATTCCAAATCCAATGCTTTCTTTCCCTCTGTATTCCCTCTTTGCAAGTACATTGTTTTTTATTGTTGGTTTTTTGTTTTGTTTTGGTTTTGGTTTTTGGTTTTGTTTTGCTTTGTTTTACCTACAGCAAAAAACATTTGGTAGGCAGGACTCTCACAGTACATAAGACACCAAGATTACTTGCACCAAGAACGGTAAAGAAAGGTGCCTTTGTGGAGGTAGCTCCACAAAGTTGGGAAGGAAAGGAAGACTCTAGGAGAGGGACACCACAATAATTTGAGCTTGGGTGTAATGCCCTTCTCCAGGGGCCTTCTTTCTTCCCCTTCAAGAGCCAAAATGCCTCCTTTCCCAGCTCAATTGCACCTCTGATCAGCCCAAGTTGGTGGCTCAGTCTGTTCCACACAAAGTCCAGCTTGTACCAGATGTAGTTACAGATCTCTTCTCATATTTCACTGAGAAAAGAAGGTATCTGTGGATCAGACCTAGCGCTGGCAAATATACTTTGCTTTAACAAATTTCTGCATTCACCAAAGCCATTTTTGTTGTAAATGTACCTGTCAACAATTACTGGAGGAGTCGTTGGGGGTAATGCTTCTGTTATGTTCAGCTGGACGCATTGTTCTGTTGATAAAACCAAAGGACGGGTCTTGGCTGCTGGAGCAGGGTACACAAACCCCCCGATACTCACCCAGAATGATAAGATGATTCCAGTCAGGAGGCCCCCTAAGGCACCCTTCAGGAAGGAAAACGAAATTAGACACCGTAAAGCCATTTCATAGAATGAATGAAAATAAATATTGTTTAAAAACTGGTGAGTCTGGGAGCTGGACTATATTCTTGGTCCTATCTCCTGGAAATTGTTTCCTTCCTCCCATTTCATCTCTCCTGCCACCCACACAACAGTTTTACTTAAAAGCCAATTTGTTCTTCACTTAAAGCACCATGTTCAAAGGTAGAGTCTATCCTTTCTTGGGCTTAACCATCTTAAACTGTAAAAAGAGGAGTGCCAACTTATCAGAATGGCAATATCTCCTCCTGAGAAGGCAAAATTTCCTCTGTTCCCAAGGAACAAACCTTCAAAAAATAGGGAGGACCCACATCTACAGGTTAAATATGCCACTCTCATTTCCCAGACATGCTTTTTACTTGTTATTCTCATCTCTCTCATCTGCTGTCACTTTTTTGGCAAAAGTAAATCTACCCAATTCAATAAACTATTTCAATTCAAATAAACTATATCAATTCAAAAAATAAATTCAATAAATTCATCAAACATTAAGTAGCTACTATGTCCCAGGCACTATACTGGTCACTTTGACTACAATGACAAAATGAAACAGTGCCAGCCCTCAAAAAGGTTACCTTCATGCAAATAAATACAGAACAATACAAAGTAATTTCATGAGGGAAAGTGAACAAACAACTTGAGAGCATGGGAATAGCCTGCCTAAAATGTGGTGCCTATTATATACCAAGCCCTGAGGTATAAAAAGAGGCAAGAAGCTTAAAAGCCCTGTCCTCAAGGAGCTTAAAATCTAGGGATTCCTCAAGTTGGAGGTGAGGAAGAATATTTCAGACAAGAGACCATCAAAGTCAACTTTTAGAAATAGAATGAGCATATCTTTAAAAAGTTAAAAACTGAAGATTTTATGAGTATCCCAAGTCTTCACTAGATCAATCATTCATTCTCCTATGGGCCTTAGAAAAGACTTGCTTGACTCATGTTGGCTATTTAACCAGAAAAGCTAGTCCACTCTCAGTTCCTGAGGAACATCACCAGCCTGTCTCTAACTAAAGTGAATTATTCATTAGCCCTTGTAACAATCAATATACAGTGTATTAAATCAACCTGAAGTGCCTTGGAGTGAGGGAGGGAAGGGAGGACTTATTCCATAGAGGTTAAACTAGACCTTAAAATTCCTCCCAGCTATAGAATAACTTGACCAAGAGTAGGTGTCAAAACTCATCCCTGTCATGAAAAAAAAAGGCTATGATGCAATGCTTTAAAAAATTCTAATATGTTGTTAGACAACATATAACGATAGCTTACTTACTCTAGCTAAAGATATCTTGCATTATTAGGTTCAAAACCCAACTTTCTCACTTAATATCTGTGTAACCTTTGGCAAGTCATTTAACTACTCTGACCCTCAGTGTCATCTATCATGTGGAGGAAGTTGATTACCACACTGCCTGTCTGGAAAGTAGGTACTTAATAATTTTTTTATTTGTTTGGTTACGTGTCTAGATGACCTATAATATCTCTTTCAAGACCTTCCTAAATCTGCTCAGTTGTTAGTTCTTCTCTCTCTCTCTCTCTCTCTCTCTCTCTCTCTCTCTCTCTCTCTCTCTCT